AGGTAGGACTGGGTGGTAGACTGGGTTGGTAGAGGACTGGAGACTGGCAGGATAGGACTGGGTGGTAGACTGGGCAGGTAGAGACTGGGCAGATTTGGTGGCAGGCAGAGGACTGGGTGGTAGACTGGGCAGGGGTAGATAGACTGGGTGGGAGAGATAGACTGGGTGCAGGCAGATAGACTGGGTTGGCAGAGTAGATGACTGGGTGGTAGACTGGGTGGCAGGGCAGAGGAGACTGGGTGGCGAGTAGATAGACTGGGTGCAGGTAGATAGACTGGGGTGGTGGTGATAGACTGGGTGGGACTGGTGGCAGGGTAGATAGACTGGGTGATTGGGCAGGGTAGATAGACTGGGTGGCAGGGGTGATAGACTGGGTGGCAGATATAGACTGGTGGTAGACTGGGTGGCAGGTAGAGGACTGGGTGGCAGGGTGATAGACTGTGGTAGACTGGTGGCAGGGGATAGACTGGGTGGGAGATGGGTGGCAGGGGTAGATAGACTGGGGTGGCAGGGTAGAGAGACTGTGCAGGGAGATAGACTGGGTGGCAGGTGATAGACTGGGTGCAGGTAGAGACTGGGTGGCAGGGTAGATAGACTGGGTGCAGGTAGAGGACTGGGTGGCAGGGTAGAGGACTGGGTGGCAGACTGGGTGGCAGGGTGATAGACTGGGTGGACTGGGTGGCAGGAGATAGACTGGTGGGACTGGGTGGCAGGGTAGATAGACTGGGTGGGGGACTGAGAGTAGACAGACTGGGTAGGCTGGGCAGAGATGAGACTGGTGGCAGGTAGATAGACGGGTGGCAGGGTAGATACTGGGTGGTAGACTGGGTGGCATAGGCAGGTGATAGATGAGGACTGGTGGGCAGGGTGATAGACTGGGTGGTAGACTGGAGGTAGATAGACTGTGGCAGGGTAGAGAGACTGGTGGCAGATAGACTGGGTGGTAGACTGGGTGCAGGTGGTAGGACTGGAGACTGGGTGGGCAGATAGACTGGGTGGTGACTGGTGGCAGGGTAGATAGACTGTGGTAGACTGGTGGTGACTGGGTGGGCAGGTAGATAGACTGGTGGTAGACTGGGTGGCAGGAGGAAGACTGGGTGGGCAGATGAGGAGATAGGACTGGGGGGCAGAGTAGACTGGGGTGGTAGAGCTGGGTGGCAGGTAGATAGACTGGTTGGTAGACTGGGGTGGGGTAGAGACTGCAGGAGATAGCAGACTGGTGGTAGATAGACTGGGTGGTAGACTGGGTGGCAGGAAGATAGACTGGGTGGCAGTGGGAGATAGACTGGGTGGGCAGGGTAGATAGACTGGGTGGTAGACTGGGTGGGCAGAGACTGGGTGGTAGACTGGGTGGAGAGATAGACTGGGTGGTAGACTGGCAGGTAGATGAGATTGGGTGGCAGGGTGGTAGCGTCGTCTGGTACCATGGCGACAAACAGGTAAACATACCCTAATTAATGAGAGAACTCATTTTCTTAGAGAGAGAGAGAGAGAGAGTTAATTGTTGACTGACTCCAGACAACACACGTGAAGTAAATATACATAAGTTCGTATCCCGTTAATTTTAGTGGATGTGATTGAGGTGACGATGGTGTTTAGTTAATATACTTCAATATGTAACTTTAAATTTAATTTTTATATTTTAGATGTTTTTAATCAGTATTTTAATTTGTTTTTAAATATATTTAGTAATATTCGAGATGGAGGAAGACGATGATGATGGGATGATGGTGATAGGATCGATATGTTGTTTACCTTTCCCAGGATTAACAAAGTGTAGATTATTTGAACCTTAATATTTCACCAAAACCTCACATAGATGGAATATATATTTTCTTATTTTTTAATCATCCATTTATATATTTATTCTCCTTTGAGTTTTATTATTAAGGTTAGAAATAGACGGACGTTAGTGGTTGGTGATGATGGTGGGGCATCGTTTGGGGTATTTTTTCAGGATGAACGGCAAATTATTGATGAGGCGTTTACCATCCTGGGATTAATATATGGCTATGTTCTTGTTGTTGGATTGTTACAGATAGATAGGCAGATAGATAGATAGATAGATAGATAAAGCCAGACATTGACCTAACTTATATTACCCTGAACTAATTTGACCTAATGGGCGGTGGCCATGGATACAACACTGCTCATGTCCTCATGGTCACTGGTTCGATCCCATAAGTTCAGGTGTTCGTTTAGAGTCTTTCGAGGAGTATTGTTTGAGATGTATTGCCATAGTTTAGCTTAGGCCATGGCCAAGGGTAGGCTATGGCTGGGCGGTGGAAGCTGTGGAGGTAAAAGTCATGGTGGCGGTAAGCTATGGCTGGCGGGAAGCTGGCGGCTTTCGGTGTGTTAAGGTTGGTGAACCATGGTGGGGTAAGCTGGCGGCTGGCGGGGTGAAGCTATGGCTGGCGGGTAAGCCATGCTGGTGCAAGCTATGGTGGGGAAGCTATGGCTGGGGGGTAAGCTGTGGCTGGGGAAGAGGCTATGGTGGCGGGTAGGCATGGTTATAGGTAGGCCATGGAAAATGGGAAGCTGGGCTAAGGGTAAGCTATGTGGGGTACCGTGGGCCAAGTGAGTAAGCATGGCTAAGGGTAAGCCATATGGTGGGGGTAAGCTTGGTGGTGGGGGTAAGCTATGGCCATGGTAAGTTATGGTTAGGGAAGCCATGCGGCTGGTGGCAAGCATGGTGGAGTAGGCCATGGTTGGGGTAGGCCATGGTTGGGAGTAGGCTATGCAAGGGTGTGTTTTGGCTATAAGCTATGGCTAAGGGTGTGACATGGCTAAGGTATGGAAGGGTAAGCTATGGTTGGGAGTAAGCCATGGCTGATGGGTAAGTCATGGCCAAGGGTAAGCCATGGTTGGGGTAAGCATGGCGGTTGCTGTGCTGGGAGGCTGGGGTAAGCCATGGCTGGCGAGTAAGTGGCTGGCGGTAAAGCTATGGCTGGGTGAAAGGCTTGGCAATGTGGTAGGCTGGCGGCTGGCAGTAGGGCCATGGCCAAGGGTAAGCTATGGCTGGGGTAACCCATGGCCAAGGGGGAAGCCATGGCCAAGGGTAAGTCATGGCCAAGGGTGTTTATGGTTATGGGTAAGCCATGGTCAAGGGTAAGCTATGGCTGAGGAGAAGCAGGCTAAGGGTAAGCCATGGCCAAGGAAGCCATGGCTAAGGGTGTATGCCAAGGGTAAGCTATGGTTAAGGGTAAGCTATGGCTAAGTAAGCTATGGCCAAGGGTAAGCTATGGCTAAGGGTAAGCCATGGCCAAGGGTTAAGCCATGGCTAAAGGGAAGGGCCGAGATTGAGGCCATGAGAAAAGTAATGAGCTGAGTTAGTTCACTTAACCTCGAGGGAAACACTCATGAATAGCTCCATCCTTTGTTGCGGTGACTTAACTTGAAGGGTTAGGTTAGGTAGGTTAGGTTAGGGGTAGGTAGGGTAGGTAGGTTAGGTTAGGGGTTAGGGGTAGGTTAGGCCAGGTTAGGTAGGTTAGGTTAGTAGTTGGGGCTAGGTTAGGTTAGGTTAGGTTAGGGTTAGGGCCAGGTTAGGTTAGGGGCCAGGTTAGGTGGGGCCAGGTTAGGTAGGTTAGGTAGGTTTGGTTAGGTTAGGTTAGGTTAGCCAGGTTAGGGAAGCCAGGTTAGGTAGGGTAGGTTAGGTTAGGTTAGGTTAGGTTAGGTTAGGTTAGGTTAGCCAGGTTAGGGGCCAGGTTAGGTAGGTTAGGTTAGGTAGGTTTGGGTTTATGGGTCACACACACACACACACACACACACACACACACACACACACACACACACATGAGTGTCTACAATATGTAATTTATGTGTATATTTCTTACACATACACGTGAGTTAGTACATAATCTGTATGTCTACACTCAAATGTATACACGAATATCCATGTGTATCTCTTTGGTGTACTTACATATATACACACATGACTATATTGCTGACATATGCCCTGGTGATAATCATATCATATACATACATACAACCATACATACATACATACATACATACATACATATATATCTTGTACATGAACTTAGATGACTTATAAACACTCATGTACGTTTTTATCTATATCACACACACACACGTGACTGTTTTTATGTATTTCACATCAGCATGAACGTATTTGCCGTTCCTATTATTAATTTTCTCACAAATATGAACGTAAATGAGTTTTTTAAATTAATTTCCACCGCTGTGAACGCCATATATTTTGTTTCCCTGTGACTATGAACGTAAAACTGTCCATCTATCCCTGTGACTATGAACGTAAAACTATCCATCTATCCCTGTGACTATGAACGTAAAACTGTCCATCTATCCCTGTGACTATGAACGTAAAACTGTTCATCTATCCTGTGACTATGAACGTAAACTGTCCATCTATCCCGTGACTATGAACGTAAAACTGTCCATCTATCCCTGTGACTATGAACGTAAAACTGTCCATCTATCCCTGTGACTATGAACGTAAAACTGTCCATCTATCCCCGTGACTATGAACGTAAACCGTCCACTATCCTGTGACTATGACGTAAAACGTTCATCTATCCTGTGACTATGAACGTAAAACTGTTCATCTATCCCTGTGACTATGAACGTAAAACTGTCCATCTATCCCTTGACTATGAACGTAAAACTGTTCATCTATCCCTGTGACTATGAACGTAAAACTGTCCATCTACCCTGTGACTATGAACGTAAAACTGTCCATCTATCCTCTGACTATGAACGTAAAACTGTTCATCTATCCCTGTGACTATGAACGTAAACTGTCCATCTATCCCTGTGACTATGAACGTAAAACTATCCATCTATCCCTGTGACTATGAACGTAAAACTGTCCATCTATCCCTGTGACTATGAACGTAAAACTATCCATCTATCCCTGTGACTATGAACGTAAACTGTTCATCTATCCGTGACTATGAACGTAAAACTGTCCATCTATCCTCTGACTATGAACGTAAAACTGTTTGTGTATCCCTGTGACTATGAACGTAAAACTGTTTGTGTATCCCTATCCCTGTGACTATGAACGTTTTAAAACATTCCTTAACTCACGTTCAAGTATCGGACAGCCTGGGGTAGATGTCCACGTTCGCCATGAATCTGAAGCCGCTGTAATGCACGTTCTGTTCCTCATAAATGAAGGAGCTCTTGTTGCCGCTACTGCCGATGACAACCTGCATCTGTGGAACTACCGGCAGAAGCGTCCGGAAATAGTGCATTCTCTCAAGTTCCAGCGAGAGAGGTGAGTGAGAGAGAGTGTGTGAGGTGAGAGACGGAGTGCGTGTGTGAGAAGAGAGAGTGTGTGAGAGGGAGAGTGTGAGAGAGTGTGTGAGAGAGACAGTGTGAGAGAGAGAGAGAGTGTGAGAGGAGTGTGAGAGAGAGAGAGAGAGTGAGGTGAGAGAGAGTGTGAGAGAGAGAGAGACAGTGTGAGAGAGAGAGAGAGTGTGAGAGAGAGTGTGAGAGTGAGAGAGAGAGAGAGAGGTGTGAGAGAGAGGGTGTGAGAGAGAGAGAGAGAGAGAGTGCGTGTGAGAAGAGAGAGAGAGAGTAGAGAGTTACCAAACCTAACCTAACCATATTTCATTGACTCAGTGTTTACAGTCCAACCTAATTTTGGTCATATTGTTAAAAGTAATGTGTGTCTACAGACTTAACTCATTCCTGTGATAATATAGTGTCACAGTATAATTGTTATATAGTGTCAGTATAGTGTCCCAGTAGTGTTTCTATAGTGTCACAGTATAGTGTCCCAGTAGTGTGTCTATAGTGTCACAGTATAGTGTCCCAGTGGTGTGTCACAGTATAGTGTCCCAGTGTGTCCCAGTAGTGTCTATAGTGTCTAGTATAGTGTCCCAGTAGTGTGTCTATAGTGTGTATAGTGTCCAGTAGTGTGTCTTATGTGGTGTCAGTGAGGTGTCTATGGTGTCCCAGTATAGTGTCCCCAGTGATTGTGTCTATAGTGTCAGTGTAGTTGCAGTGTTGTCTATGGTGTCCCAGTATGGTGTCAGTGGTGTGTCTATAGTGTCCCGGTATGGTGTCAGTGGTGTGTCTGTAGTGTCACTATGGTGTCCCAATGGTGTGTCTTGGTGTCACGGTATGGTGTCCCAGTGGTGTGTCTTAGTGTCCAGTATAGTGTCCAGTGGTGTGTCTATAGTGTGTAGTGTGCAGTGGTGTGTCTAGTGTGGTGTCACAGTGGTATCCCAGTGCTGTGTGTATATAGTGTCCAGTGAAAGTGTGTCTATAGTGTCACAGTATAGTGTCCCAGTGGTGTGTCTATATAGTGTCACAGTATAGTGTCCCCAGTGGTGCTATAGTGTCCCAGTATGGTGTCCCCAGTGGTGTGTCTGTAGTGTCACAGTATAGTGTCCCAGTGGTGTGTATAGTGTCACAGTATGGTGTCCCAGTGGTGTGTCTATGGTGTAAGTGTCCCAGTGGTGTGTCTATATAGTGTCTAGTGTCACAGTAGTGTCCCAGTGCTGTGTGTATAGTGTCTGTAGTGTCCCAATATAGTGTCCCAGTATAGTGTCCCAATATAGTGTCACAATAGTGTCCTGTAAAGTGTCCTAATGTGTCCCAGTATAGTGTCCCAGCGTAGTGTCCCAATAGTGTCCCAATATAGTGTCCCAATATAGTGTTCAGTATAGCGTCCAATATAGTATCCCAATATAGTGTCTAGTATAGTTCTCAAATAGTGTCTAATATAGTGCAGTATGGCGTCAGTATAGTGTCCCAGTATAGTGTCCCAGTATAGTGTCAGTATAGTGTCCCAGTAGTGTCCCAGTTTAGTGTCTCAGTATAGTGTCCCAGTAGTGTCCCAGTATAGTGTCCCAGTAGTGTCTCTATAGTGTCCCAGTAGTGTCTATAGTGTGTCTTATAGTGTCACAGTATAGTGTCCCAGGTGTGTGTCCAGTATAGTGTCCCAGTAGTGTGTCTATAGTGTCTCAGTATAGTGTCCCAGTAGTGTGTCTATATAGTGTCTCAGTATAGTGTCCCAGTAGTGTGTCTATAGTGTCCAGTGATATGTCAAGAGTGTCCCAGTATAGTGTCCCAGTATAGTGTCCCAATATAGTGTCCCTGTAAGTGTCCAATATTGTGTCCCAGTATAGTGTCCCAGTGTAGTGTCCCAATATAGTGTCCCAATATAGTGTCCCAGTATGTGTCCCAGTTAGTGTCCCAGTATGGTGTCCCATAGTTTCCAAATATAGTGTCCCAATATAGTGTCACAGCATAGCGTCCCAGTATAGTGTCCCCATATAGTGTCCCAGTATGTGTCCCAGTATAGTGTCCCAGTATAGTGTCCCAGTAGTGTCCCAGATGTGTCCCAGTATAGTCCCAGTAGTGTCTAGAGTGTTCTAGTGTCTGTGTCCGAGTGTTGATAGTGTAGAAGTGTCCCAATATAGTGTGTCCCAGATATGTGAGTGTCCAATATAGTGTCCAATGTGTCCAGTATATTCTGTCAATAGTGTCCAGATAGTGTCCCAGTAGTGTCCCAATATAGTCCCAATATAGTGTCCCAGTATAGTGTCCCAGTAGTGTCCCAATATAGTGTCCAATATAGTGTCCCAGATAGTGTCCCAATATAGTGTCCCAATATAGTGTCCCAATATAGTGTCCCAGTATAGTGTCCCAATATAGTGTCCCAATATAGTGTCCCAATATAGTGTCCCAGTATAGTGTCCCAATATAGTGTCCCAGTATAGTGTCCCAATAGTGTCCCAATATAGTGTCTCAATATAGTGTCCCAATATAGTGTCCCAATAGTGTCCCAATATGGTGTCCCAGTATAGTGTCCCAAGTGTGTCTAGTGTCCAATATGGTTCTATAGTGTCCCAATATAGGTCCCAACATAGTGACCCAGGTGTGTCTCAGGTGTGCTAATTAGTCTCCTCTCCTGCAGAATCACCTGTAGTGTCCCAATATAGTGACCCAGGTGTCCCAGGTGTGTAATTAGTCTCTCCTTGCAGAATCACCTGTAGTGTCCCAATATAGTGACGGGTGTCTCAGGTGTGTAATTAGTTCTGGTTGTGTGTAATATAGTGACCCAGGTGTCTCAGGTGTGTAATTGTCCCTCTCCTTGCAGAATCACCTGTAGTGTCCCAATATAGTGACCCAGGTGTGTCTCAGGTGTGCTAATTATCTCCTCTCCTTGCAGAATCACCTGTAGTGTCCCAATATAGTGACCCAGGTGTCCCAGGTGTTAATTAGTTCTCTCTTGCAGAATCACCTGTAGTGTCCCAATATAGGACCAGGTGTGTCTCAGGTGTGCTAATTAGTCTCTCTCCTTGCAGAATCACCTGTAGTGTCCCAATATAGTGACCCAGGTGTCTCAGGTGTGCTAATTAGTCTCCTCTCCTTGCAGAATCACCTGTGTCCCAAGTGACCCAGGGCTCAGGTGATGTCTCTCTCCTTGCAGAATCACCTGTCTACACCTGCCTTTCCAGAGCAAGTGGCTGTACGTAGGGACTGAGAGAGGGAATATACATATTGTTAATATTGAGCTGTTTCAACTATCTGGTTACATTATCAACTGGAACAAGGCAATTGAACTGTGAGTACCTAGTTTGTGTTTTGGGGGGTTGTTAGGGGAGGTTGTTAAAGATTGATTGGGTTGGTAGAGATAGTTGAAGAATAACCTAACCTAACCAAATCACAACCTAACCAACCGCCAACCTAACCTAACCAAATCACAACCTAACCTAACCAAATCACAACCTAACCTAACCAAATCACAACCCAACCTAACCAGATCACAACCTAACCTAACCAATCACAACCTAACCTAACAAATCACAACCTAACCTAACCAAATCACAACCTAACCAAATCACAACCCACCTAACCAAATCACAACCTAACCTAACCAAATCACAACCTAACCTAACAAATCACAACCTAACCAAACCAAATCACAACCTAACCTAACCAAATCACAACCTAACCTAACCAAATCACAACCTAACCTAACCAATCACAACCTAACCTAACCAAATCACAACCTAACCTAACCAAATCACAACCTAACCTAACCAAATCACAAGCTAACCAAATCACAACCTAACCAAATCACAACCTAACCTAACCAACCAACCTAACCAAATCACAACCTAACCTAACCAAATCACAACCTAACCTAACCAAATCACAACCTAACCTAACCAAATCACAACCTAACCTAACCAAATCACAACCTAACCTAACCAACACAACCTAACCAAACCAAATCACAACCTAACCTAACCAAATCATAACCTAACTCTAACCAAATCACAACCTAACCTAACCAAATCACAACCTAACCTAACCAAATCAAAGCCAACCAAATCACAACCTAACCAAATCACAACCTAACCTAACCAAATCACAACCTAACCAAATCACAACCTAACCTAACCAAATCACAACCTAACCTAACCAAATCACAACCCAACCTAACCAAATCACAACCCAACCAAATCACAACCTAACCTAACCAAATCACAACCTAACCTAACCAACTACAACCTAACCTAACCAAATCACAAGCTCACCAAATCACAACCTAACCAAATCACAACCCTAACCTAACCAAATCACTAACCTAACCAAATCACAACCTAACCTAACCAAATCACAAGCTAACCAAATCACAACCCAACCAAATCACAACCTAACCTAACCAAATCACAACCTAACCAAATCACAACCCCAACCTAACCAAATCACAACCTAACCTAACCAAATCACAACCTAACCTAACCAAATCACAACCTAACCTAACCAAATCACAACCTAACCTAACCAAATCACAACCTAACCTAACCAAATCACAACTAACCTAACCTAACCAAATCACAACCTAACCAATCACAACTCTAACCAAATCACAACCTAACCTAACCAAATCACAACCAACCAGATCTGTGGTGGCAGACGAGGCTGAATTGGTCACAGTCAAATAAAATAGATCTGTTTGTTGACATTATAATTGATGTTTTTGACCGCTAGTTGGCGCCACCTGTGAGAGAGAACTGAATAGGTGGTAGTGATGGTGGTGGTAGTGGTGATAGTGATGGTGACACACTACTATTATGGAAGGTTTCAATGCAGGGCTTCACTATCACCACCACAGGGCTCACTATCACCACCACAGGGCTTCTTCACCATCACCAACAGGGCTTCATATCACCAACAGGGCTTCACTATCACCACCACAGGGCTTCACTATCACCACCACAGGGCTTCACTATCACCACCAACAGGGCTTCACTATCACCACCAACAGCTTCACTCACCACCAACAGGCTCACTATCACCACCAACAGCTTCACTATCACCACCACAGGGCTTCACTATCACCACCACAGGGCTTCACTATCACCACCACCAGGGCTTCACTATCACCACCAACAGCTTCACTATCACCACCACAGGGCTCACCATCACCACCAACAGGGCTTCACTATCACCACCACAGGGCTTCACCATCACCACCAACAGGCTCACTATCACCACCACAGGGCTTCACTATCACCACCACGGGCTTACCTATCACCACCACAGCTTCACATCACCACCAACAGGGCTCACTATCACCACACCAACAGCTTCACTATCACCACCACAGGGCTTCACTATCACCACCAACAGGGTCACTATCACCACCACAGGGCTTCATCACCACCAACAGCTCACTATCACCACCACAGGCTTCATCACCACCAACAGGGCTTCACTATCACCACCACAGGGCTTACTATCACCACCACAGGGCTTCACTATCACCACCACAGGGCTTCACTATCACCACCAACAGTTCATCACCACCAACAGCTTCTACATCACCACCAACAGCTTCACTTCACCACCAACAGCTCACTATCACCACCACAGGGCTTCATCACCACCAACAGGGCTTCACTATCACCACCACAGGCTTCACTATCACCACCAACAGGGCTTCACTATCACCACCACAGGGCTCACTATCACCACCAACAGGGCTTCACTATCACCACCAACAGCTTCTATCACCACCCAACAGCTTCACTATCACCACCAACAGCTTACTATCACCACCACAGGGCTTCATCACCACCAACAGGGCTTCACTATCACACCACAGGGTCATCACCACCACAGGCTTCACTATCACCACCAACAGGGCTCACTATCACCACCACAGGGCTTCATCACCAACAGCTTCACTATCACCACCAACAGCTCTATCCCAGCTCCACCAACAGCTCACTATCACCACCACAGGCTTCACTATCACCACCAACAGCTTCACTATCACCACCAACAGCTTCACTATCACACACAGGCTTCATCACCACCAACAGGGCTTCACTATCACCACCACAGGGCTTCACTATCACCACCACAGGCTTCACTATCACCACCAACAGCCACATCACCACCACAGGGTCACCACCACCACAGGGCTTCATCACCACCACACAGCTTCACTATCACCACCAACAGCTTCACTATCACCACCAACAGCTTCACTATCACCACCACAGGGCTTCATCACCACCAACAGCTTCACTATCACCTCCAACAGCTTCACTATCACCACCACAGGGCTTCATCACCACCAACAGCTTCACTATCACCACCAACAGCTTCACTATCACCACCACAGGCTTCATTATCACCACCAACAGCTTCACTATCACCTCCAACAGCTTCACTATCACCACCAACAGCTTCACTATCACCACCAACAGCTTCACTATCACCACCACAGGGCTTCATCACCACCAACAGCCATATCACCACCAACAGCTTCACTATCACCACCAGCTTCTATCACCACCAACAGCTTCCACACCACCACAGGGCTTCATCACCACCAACAGCTTCACTATCACCACCAACAGCTTCACTATCACCACCAACAGCTTCACTATCACCACCAGGCTTCATCACCACCAACAGCCACTATCACCACCAACAGCTTCACTATCACCACCAACAGCTTCACTATCACCACCACAGGGCTTCATCACCACCAACAGCTTCACTATCACCACCAACAGCTTCACTATCATCACCAACAGCTTCACTATCACCACCAACAGCTTCACTATCACCACCAACAGCTTCACTATCACCACCAACAGCTTCACTATCACCACCACAGGGCTTCACTATCACCACCAACAGCTTCACTATCACCACCAACAGCTTCACTATCACCACCACAGGTTCACTATCACACCAACAGCTTCACTATCACCACCACAGCTCACTATCACCACCAACAGCTTCACTACACCACCAACAGCTTCATATCACCACCACAGGGCTTCACTATCACCACCACAGGCTTCACTATCACCACCAGCTTCAATCACCACCACAGCTTCACTATCACCACCACAGGCTTCACTATCACCACCACAGGCTTCACTATCACCACCAACAGGCTTCACTCACCACCACAGGGCTTCACTATCACCACCAACAGCTTCACTATCACCACCACAGGCTTCACTATCACCACCAACAGCTTCACTATCACCACCAACAGCTGGTTCCCCACTCACCGCTGTACTGAAGCCAGAGAATAATTACCATTTTTTCTCTTTATTTGCATCCACCCACGTCTGTCTGTCTGTCTGTCTGTCTGTCTGTCTGTCTGTCTGTCTATGTTTCTGTCTGTCTGTCTGTCTGTCTGTTTCTGTCTGTCTGTATGTTTCTGTCTGTCTGTCTGTCTGTCTGTCTGTATGTGTCTGTCTGTCTGTCTGTCTGTCTGTTTGTCTGTCTGTCTGTCTGTTTCTGTCTGTCTGTATGTTTCTGTCTGTCGTCTGTCTGTCTGTCTGTATGTCTGTTTCTGTCTGTCTGTCTGTTTCTGTCTCTGTTTCTGTCTGTCTTGTATGTTTCTGTCTGTCTGTCTGTCTGTCTGTCTGTCTGTATGTTTCTGTCTGTCTGTCTGTCTGTCTGTTTCTGTCTGTCTGTATGTTTGTCTGTCTGTCTGTCTGTATGTTTCTGCCTATGTTTCTGTCTGTCTCTGTCTGTCTGTCTGTCTGTTTCTGTCTGTCTGTATGTTTCTTGCCTGTCTGTTTCTGTCTGTATGTTTCTGTCTGTGTTGTTCTCTGTCTGTCGTATGTTTCTGTCTGCTGTCTGTCTGTCTGTCTGTCTGTCTGTCTGTTTCTGTCTTCGTTTCTGTCTGTGTTTCTGTCTGTCTGTGTGTTGTCGTCTGTCTGTCTGTCTGTCTGTCTGTATGTTTCCGTCTGTCTGTCTGTCTGTCTGTCTGTCTGTTTCTGTCCGTCCGTCTGTCCGTCTGTCTGTCTGTCTGTTTCTGTCCGTCTTCGTCTGTCTGGTTCGTTGTTCGTTTCTGTCTGTCCGTCTGTCCGTCTGTCTGTCTGTCTGTCTGTCTGTCCGTCTGTTCGTCTGTCTGTTTCTGTCTGTCCGTCTGTCCGCTGTCTGTCTGTCTGTTTCTTGCCCGTCCGTCTGTCCGTCTGTCTGTTCGTCTGTCTGTCTGTCTGTCTGTTTCTGTCTGTCTGTCTGTCTGTTCTCTGTCTGTCTGTCTGTCGTTGTTTCTGTCTGTTGTTGTCTGTT